GATGAGAAGCAGTAAACTAAGATAAAAAGGCTGGCGTGGCTAATGATGCATGGTAGTTAGTGGTGCATGGTGTCCCAGAGAAATACTACGAATTACGCTAAGTTACTAGTATTTAGTAACTTACAATTAAAAGCACGGATTGAGTGTGGTGGCTTCGCAGACTAAATCCAAAACCTCACATTTCGAGCGTTAGGCAAAACAAATGTCCATGACAACCTTAGGCCTGAGGAGCCGATTTGTAAAGATATCACTAAGTGTTTCGTATTGATCTGAGTCTAGCAGCATCACTACAGCAAACTCTTCGCAAATGCAATGTATAAATGCCAAATAAGCTTGTAATTTGATTGCGGTTCATTATAAACCGCTTTTTAAATCGGTAAGTCATATAGAGAAATTTACTATTTTATTTAGAAGCTTACTCTCGGGTGGTTTTATCGGGGAAGCCGCATTTGCAGATTTCTTCGCATCATGTGGATTTGTACGCCCTAGCTTTCCGTAGAGATCAATGCATGGTAATCGAGCCAATTGTCCACAAAGTGCAGATTTGGCCCCACCGACTGAAGAGGGAGCCAGACCGAGTAGAGCCATTGTAGTTAGCGAAGTGAAACAATCACTACGAGCCGGATATAAAAGGATGAGATGGGGATGAAGAATTTAAAGCGATTTATGGTAATAGAATGACAGTTTGATGCCAATTTTACTGGCAAGATCATCTCGATGCAATGCCTCTACACTGGCATCAATATAGAAACATTAGTGTTGAGGATTATATAAAGTTTACAATTTATTAGTCTCATTAATGATAGAAAAAGTAGCCGACATATGATGCGATACAATCGAGAAGGAGGCCAGAACAATGTAAATAAGAATAAATAGTAGAGGAAGATAGTCTAGAAGAGAAGGTAAAAAAATCGAACTTTATCTATTTGGGCTTCGTAGACATCCAGAAATCTTTGTACAAAAATAATATACAAATTATAAAGTCGCAAGTTATGGTGAGGAAAAAAACTGCTAGTTTAATGAAAATCACGATGATAAAGAAAGGAAATGAATAATGGAACCCACTTAAAAAGGAAGCATTAAGTGAAAAAAGCCTAAAGCTGCTTGAGGGTATCTGATTCTAGTCAAAATGAAAGCCTCACCTAGGTTCCATCAGTACTCCCAGCGGGACTCGAACCATGACGGTGCAGCGTATAATTTCGACACGTTAACCTCTACGCCCGATTTCCACGAATGCTCTCGGGCCACAGGACAGATGTAACTTTCAAGGAAGGCTAGGCATTTTGCCATATCA